TGAAGATGTCTTCAGAATTGAGAGTTATTCAAAAACTAGAGAGTAACGTTTTTGGGTCACTCTGTATATCAATTTCGTCAGGGTACCTTTTGAGTGAGTATATAAGCGGTAATACTAGATTGATGGGATTGGCTCTGTCTAGCTTAGCTTATATATGACACCGATATTGCGTTTTAATATCAAATTCATCAACCGTGTACTAATAGTGCTTGGACCCTACATGATTTTGATTACTTTACGACCAAAAGCTCATATCATAAATATGCATCAAAACACTATTCTATTCCCTTGTGTCAAGATTGCGCTACTGTATGTCTGTATTTACTGAATTAATCACGATCACTTTTATCATACAATTTTCTTTCTACGTGGCTCTATATGCTGCATGTCATACTAAATTAATAGCTTCATAACTTTCCCGAACGCCTTTTACGGACGAAATTAACATGTTTTTATCCAGCTATTTGTTGTTTGTAACGCATCGTGGGTTTTAACCAAAGGCATTGGTCTTTTAGTGAAAGTACTCTCTTTAAATAACTCAATGAAAATATTTCAATGATGAATTTTTACGACAAACTTAGCGTGTTATCACCATAATTATAGGAGCAATTTACGAAAACAGAGCTAGTAATTTTGATTTCAACTCAAGTGAACTTAACTATATTTCTTTACAATTTTGGGTCAATTAATATGTTTTTTTGTACAAACTCAGTGCACGATATTTCAAAGAACGTTATCATTTCACTCTTGACTCTCGTCAGCTACTGTGTTTCTTTCTACCCAAATTGATCTATCGGGAGACCTTTCTAGGGACCTGTCGTCTTCTAATAATGAATTATTGAAAACTGTCGTACATTTAATATACCCCTGATTTTGCACGTATATTCTACTACATTCTATTTGATGGAAAATGAATGAATGAAAATCTTCCCAGAAAACAGGCTTGATCATATGCATGTACAACAATTCATTCTCTCATTGCTTTATCATGTTTTGCATAAGGCGCCATCAAACGACAATGCAATGCGATTGTATATGTTGTTTTTATCAACGTATTTAGCTGGTAGAACTAATCGTAACTTATGACAAGTATGATATGTAACAACACAACAAAAAGTTGTACGTTTCTAAACGTCTTTATCGACAGGGGCAATCCGAGAATACACAGAAGATCCGTTGGTGAAGTATTTTTCACATACTGCACCAGTAACTTGTCACTTGTTTAATAACAAAGGTATTTCGCGGCATCATATTGAAATACCGTTACGATATAGAATGCTTTGGTAATTTTTTGATCCATAGATCATAGGTAACTGCTGCAAAATGTTATGTGGTGTATAGTTTCAGATGTTATATTAGTGGGTGTTTTAACCTTCTTTTGAACTGTGTTGGCTTACTCTGATGACCAGAACTGTGATGCAAGGAATGTCGGTAGTTGTTTCAGTTGAACAACACCAGTTTTAATGGTTTGATTTAACTGCGTTAAACGTTGGATCTCAGAATATATTTGCAACTTACATAATAGAGTCTTGCAAACAAGAAATGTTATTTTGCAAGAATGGATGACCTTGTCTCACAGATAATCGAATAGCCAACCAGCAAATAGTGCCTGCTCTTGACGATTGATATCGACCTTCAAGGTCGGGCTTCACTGCTGTAGCAGCCTCTGGAAAGAATTGAAATACCCTTGGACCAAGGATGGTGGATTGATATGATAGTTAAAATGTTTTCCTCTAGGGGTACCCCTTGTCCGTTGTAGCTATATGCGAGATCAAACTTAAGATCACGGAAATGGCACAATCGATTGTACGAAGATTCTGAATTGAATGTACAATTGTAATAAAACATCGTCGAATAAATAGCAATTAATAGTCTAGACATGCCATCTCTCATGATCAGCTGGTTTGTCTGTATCAGATCAGAGTTTACAAAAATATTGATGTTTTACAAAACAGAACCCTCATTCTATAAACACGCATTTACATACTTTATATGACCTCGTGTCTACTGTATATGTTTTCTTTACTGTTTATGTTATTCTAGTGTATACTGAGGGTAGTGATGAATGCGTGTTCGTAAATTACATAAGATCACGTAGCCCTTTAAGGACTATCAATATAAATGGAGATCCTGACATAATATTAATTCACACCACTATGGAAATTGTTTTTAAAATAATTATTCATCAAAGCAGATTAATCATTATTAGAAAACATAGCACATGTTATCTCTAAAAGCTTCTAATACTTTGTCTATTAAAGAGTATACATTACAGCAATATTTCACCATCAATAGCTTATACCTGAAGCCAATGTAACTTATCACATTTTTCCATTAGTTGTATTAACCTGTCATTTGCTGTGCTATATGGATGATCTACAAAACATCGTAAGTCACTTATCCAGCACCATCATGTCGTAAATCCACACAAGAGTCAATTAAAATAACGATGGGTTCATAATCTTGATAAACCGGCCATTCTACTTCATATTATTGGATTTTGATCACCGTGTTCTCTACAAAACCCCATAAAATCCAGAATAACGGCAAAACAATACAGCACGATGACAATGCTGGATAATGAATTTTGTTGATTTTTTCAGTGTTCGATAACATCGAATTGATAACTAGAACCATCGCATCAATTGTGCTGTTGATATAAAAGTATCTACTAATTAACGTAATGAGACGAATATTGCTTGAAATGAGGCCACAAAAAGTACATAAATGTTGCACTAACGACTAAGCACAAAATGCTATATATGTGTTACCCATCTATTGTCTGCCATTATGTGTGATCTATGAGCCAATAACAGTCTTATTTTACAGTATGAAGTCCTGCTACAAAGTCACCAAAGTGCCTGTATCACACAATGTATTGCTTTGTTTTATCCGAAAAAAGCCTACATTGTTCAGTCGTTATAATTAAAACCAATTACGAGAGGTTTACTACAGAAAGAATGTAGTTAGTTGAGATTTACTGTTATAATAGCATCTTATTGGACACTTCCACATTGAACGTTATCCTCAGCGTCCCAACGTTATCCTTATGAACTGCACACACTTGATTTGGAATCATTTTTAAAGGGCGTGGTAATATCGTATATGGTCCATTTATGTTATATACAAGTTTATCATATATTAGTAGTTTCGTTGATTTTACTAAAATCCATTTGAGATTGATCTGACCTGTGGATCATGTGGTTTAAATCGCCGTGTACTAAGATTTGTCTTTCTCCTGGATTGCCATATTTACCATGCCATAGGACTGAATATTTTCACTTAGTTTTGTTCTACGGTTTGTTTTTAGCGTTCTTCGAATGTTGCCCTTTGTACGATGTCGTTTTGATAAACAAGACCTCCTATTCAGGAAAGTTCAAATATCGGAAAGTGAGAAGTTATTCAGAGTTTTGGAATAATAGACATAATATTAAGTTAAATAACACCCTTGAAGTTACAGCTTCTTCCGTTTGCAATGGTACATACCGAACATCGCATTATGAGGAGACCCTTGACAGACGAAACAATCAACGTGTCAATATCAGCATATCTGAAATAATACAACAAATAATCCTGTTCTATTGGATATAAAAGTTATATGCATTTGACACATAGCAGAAATTTGTAACCAAAGATGAGGCATATTAGAAATCATAACTCTATCATAATATGTGGAAATCTAATTCGCGGAATAACTTGACGAGCAGTATAGCAGACTTAACTGCGAGTTATTGACTTACTGTATCTAATCATCGTGTTATCGTTGTTCAATCATCTTGTATATTCTCTATTGTACATGCTTCAGTGAACCCAGATCAACAAATGTATGTTTTATATGCCCCTTTAACACTATTCTCCTAAGAGATGGGCACTAAATCATTTACTGACTCATAGAACTTTCATAATGTCTAAATGTTTTCCCAAGCCGGCAATAGCAATTCCGACCTTTATCAGAGTGAAATATATTCAGAAATGGTTGAATCGGTTATACTACAACTTCAGAATGATAAACGTATAGTTATTACCCAACATAAATCAAAACCAAACATGTGGCCAGGATACCAACAGTTCGGTATGAGTTTAATTTCTTTGAAAAAACTCTTCCCAAGAGGAAAAAGTTAATAAAGTTTTCATAAAATCTTGCCTGGAAATACGTGGAGTATCTAATCAAAATAATAGTTGAATAAAAAGGTGAAAGCTGCCTTTAATTGTAATAGCATTTATCCCAGGGTACAAGGTTGAGATACCCTCTGAATTCAGGTACTGATTCATCCTCACTTATCCAACGCCCTTTTCTAATAGGCATAAGAGCTCATAGACCACGTGTTGCTCAAACTTTAGCATGGTTGCTCTGGTTCAAGTATGTATGGAGTGAAATAAAAATGAATGACAGGAGAGGTACACCAGCCTCCGAACGCATGGCTCCACATCATCCACGATGTTCCTTCTCTACTTCTTGGAGACCTGTGTTCGGAGGAATTGAGGTACATATGAATGATGCTAGACTAATACAAGGATTTTTGATTCTAACATAGGATGAAACCTAGTTATTCAAAGAGGAAATAGAATTGTCTCATTATTCTCCTTCTCCAGTTACTGACAGGGAATGTCAATTAAGACAGAAGGAGACAAGTTTAGTTGAAATAGCATTCTACTGCTTTCCCCTAATGAGCCCTGTTGATTCGGTAAGTTCTAATAATAGAGCCAGTCCTGTCAAAGGTGATGAGAGCAAAAGATCAGTTTGGGATAAATATACACTTATTTGTACAATATACCCATTACCAAGCCAGCATAGTCAATCCAGTTCATATACTGTTGTCCATCCTCCATGTTTGTTTATTACAACATCATTTTCGCATTCCGATTCATCAGAGTCTCTCTAAAATACTAGTAGCTTGTGAGAGACCATCTCTCTTTTCAAGGGATAGTAGAGACTGAAGATCCCACAATGCTATTTTCGTATGAAAGGTTCTAAAAACGTTGATCATATGTACTTCTAGATGCTACGTGTACCTTCCCCGAGAGTTGGCGAGGCCGATGGCGAATGCATACACAAGTAGTGGATATCACAGAGGAATCGTGGACGGTGGCGTCTGAGCTGGAAGCAACATGCTTGGAGCAGAAAAACTCATATTATCTACTGAAGGAGGAACGAGAGTGAGTATAATAATGAGGCCAAAGAGCACAAGGGGAAACACTTAAAAACGTTTTCAATTTCCCTGTTTACTGTCTTTTATGAAAGAAATGCAATTTTGGACAAGGAGTTGTAGGCCACTTCAGGGAAAAGGCTATTTGAACACACTGTGATGTGACTGTCTTGGAAAGCAACAAAAAAGGGAAAAGCCCAATAAACCATATCTAACCAAAAAATGCAACTTTTAAACATAGTTCTCTGAATTATTAGAATAGTATCGCATTGCCTCATAAAGGTAGATTATTTGACTCTCCTCAATCTACGATGCTATGAAGTGCAGCTAATATCTAGATACGGAGGCTATTTGTATCCTATTGAAGAGCTCTAGATGGTAATTTTATCGCACAGTGGTTGTTTTAGTCGTGTTTTTGTTGCAGTAAATACCCCCTTTACTGATATCCAGTTTGTTGTTGTCTTAAACGATCATTAACATTTCATCTGGCAGCTCAAAACGATCGTAAAACAACCTCTTTGACCAAACTTGTGCAATCGTATAAAGAATCGAGGTTCTGGTCGAAAAAGTTGATATACTAATGTAAAGTAAACAGTTATTATTATCTGTATGTATAAGGATCCAATTGTAAATGAAAAAAGTTACTTAATGTGCCATTTGATATACTTTAATATCAGGTATGATACTTTAATGCAACGAAATCATGTTTCTAGATACATATTATTGAATTCGCGGGTCTCAGGTATCTGGGTTCTGGAATGCATTATTGATGCAATATTGCTATTACATCAGATATGAAATTCGCCATCACGATCTTGCCAAAATATTTTGATTTGTTCCACTTTCATGTTGAAGTATACACAAATAGCCAAAAATTATCTATGCAGGATTATCGATAATCCTAATCCCTTGGAACCCTGGAATGTTAAAGTTAAGTATAGTCTAACGTCATTGGCAATAGTTATTGAAGTAACTTGACCCAATCTTATCCTTTACGGGCGTTTTACAGATCTAGATAACTTACCAAACATAAAAATGTAAATGGGCAACTGATTAACGGCCTATTAGAGTTAACCGGCGGATTTACACGTTGAATACTTGATTATCAGTCTTACGCGTAAAAAGGAACTCCATTTAGCAAACAAAAAACAGTTTGCATGCATGGTCAATTTATATTGAGCCACTTGTGCAAATATTCCTAGTCTAGGGTTATGAAATTTAGCGATGCAATTGCGATGACAAAGAGCCTTCTTTGGCTATTTAGTCACGCTTGAGGATTTTTCGAAAATATCTACGCTGTCCTTTATTCTGGCCAGCGTCTTGTTTGAGGAAGATTTATGTTAGAGTACTTGATCAACACGGATCGCCTTTAATCACACAGCTACATTAGAAAGCCATTACCTAAGGGTTAATTACAGAAATAACAAAACTAATGAATAACCAAATACCTATCTCCTCGAATGACATTATTTTTTAAGAATTGATTTTCCTTATCATTGAACAAAACTCTCTTTCTTGATTACAATCCGATTCTCGAGGCATTTCCTAAAAGGTAGTGTAGGAAATAAGAAACGCATTGTGCATATTAATTCACTGTCTAGATGGAAATATCCTTTAGCTTCGTGTCTCTTGTGCCATTAGACGCAATTGGGGTTCTGGTAATAACAACTTCACATACGATCAAGTGAAGCAGTTTTCTTTAGAATACATGAATATCAGAGATGTTTGATCAATTCTCTATAGTAGATCACAATCAAAACTTTTTAAGTAAGCGTGACAAAATATTTGACATCTACAGGGTGACCCAAAAACCGCTCCAAAAATGAAATAATTTCTTAAACACATATGCAATCATGTTCATTTTTCATGAACAGAAACTATAATGACAATGTGAGACCAAATGTGCCCACTTTTGAAAGAAAAGAAAATGAAAGATTTTCATGTCAACCAAAAGGTTACACATCGTTTGTTCAAACACATCACATTCTTTTAGCTTCCTGTTAAGCTGCATGTTGGGAGTATAGAGGGTGAGGTCATTAATGAGGAAGTCTCTAACAACCTTTAAGTCATCTTTAGGTGTGGTTGCAGCGATATTTTGGAACTACGTTCAATGCAATCACACATCATTCTGCTGTCTTGATGATTTCTTAAGAATTTAACCGATGGATGAGCGTTTGGGGTGTTCTTGCTCAGAGGCCAGGAATTTCAGCCATCTGATCTTTTACTAGGTGTTTTACCATTGCTTATTTTTCATTTTTCAATTAAGATATTGAACGAGACTTTCATTTCATGTATTCCTTGGAATTTCCTTCTGAATTTCTCAAAAAATCTCAAGAAATGATTTTGTCTCAGTGTTGACTCTTTCCTAAAATTGGACACATTCTAAGATCATCCATCATATCACAAATAATCGAATTCGTGTAACAAACTTGATGTCAAATTATCGTCCATAGATTCTAGTTTATGCACATAAAAACTGGGTTGATAGGAAAGGTATTTAAGAAATTTTTACACTTTTAGAGTGTTCTGTTTTTTGGGGTCACCCTGGAGAATTCATTTCGTTTAGCTTATAAATCGTATAGATTTATCGACATCGAACTAATTTTGTCCAACTATGTACCAGTTTGAATCAACTTAATCACACGCTGGTAATATTTGACTTTTTCAAAACGTGCATCACATTTAGGAATTTTAGGTATTTTGCAAAAAAGCATTTAAAGTCTCCCAAGTCATTATTCTTCAAGCAACTTGCAAGTTGGTGAAGGCGCAGTGTAAAAAAATCTTAGCAACAATACCTATTTAGATTCTTATTCGTCACACCAGGTTACAAAAGCAAAATGTTTTTGGCTACTGCTTATATTTTATTCTTTGATTTAACTCATGAGTGCAAACCACATCTAAATCTGGGCCGGCCCCGTTGGGTCTTCGCTCTTGAGCGAACTAGTCGGGCCTCGGCCGTGGTTTGGCAACGCTATGCAGATCTCTGGGCAGGGGCTGTGTGGTTACGAGTAAGATTAGGCCTGTTCACTAAGCGATGTTACGGTACCTCCGTGAATTGCTGAAATTGCATTAATGGGATTGTTACGATCACAATTTCGAGATTTCATTTGATAATTAAGTTAATGTCCATTAACACTATGGGCTTCAGCCGGGTCTTTATTGGATTTTTCAGCTCCTTTGACAACGAACATATATCTTGCTTATCTCTGGGGACGTCTATGCGCTCACCAAGCAGGCCTGATCAATTATTTAGTCGGTCCTCTCTATACTTTACATACAGCGATTGCGGTGCCATGATATCAAGTACAGATCTGTCCTTAGACCCATGGGTGTAATATTTATTTGTAATAGGCAATAAAGGCAATACGGTGATTCCAATAAAAGAAAAGTATATACCCTGAATTAGTCCCAGACGGTTTTGTTACTGCGAAAGATATGTTTATTTTTTACCTTAAAGTGTTTCATTTTTTCCATCTGGCAATATATACACTGCAATAAAGAAAATGAAAGATGAATAATTAAAAATAATATCCAACCCAAAGCAACAATTGGTATGTCTCTAATTAAGGGAGGCGTGTCGAATTAAGAAAGAACATAAGACTTTCTGAAAACAATTACTTAGCAAACACATTTGGTTTATTAAGGAAAATTACGGAAACACATTCTTGTAAGGTAATCAATATTTCTTTTGATATTGATGAATGAGACTGTCAGCTTAGTAATCATTCTCCTGAACAGGTTTACAAATAAGTTGTTAGACACAAGATCTGATCACTACTTGAAGTTAAGGCATCTTATATGTATGTGGATCACATGACATCACGTCATATCTGATATGATTGTATTGTCTCTGAATATTATATGAGACGGGTAAGTATGATGGATTCGAAACAGCTGGAGAATGGGAACATAATTACACTTTTCAATTTGAAAAAAAAAAATTCTTCAAGCAGGAAATCAAAGAATTGAGGCCAATTGGATTTGATTTTTTGTTTTCTAGTAGTTTGTTCAAATTTGGCCTTCACAATGTTGGTCAAAAACTCTCAACTGGTAAAACAAATACAAAAATCGTTACCTTAAAGGTATCAGATCAATTCCAATCTGTCTCCCCTTTGCTACAAGGGGTCGTATCAATTGACCAATGAAAATTGGGAACTTGGATTATTTCACATGTTTGACATATTCCCTCCAGGGATACCCAGGGGTTCCTTTATCAAAACTGGAAAGACTTAAATATGAACATTTGTTTTTGAGCGCACTTATGTCACTTCCAGTAATAGGTTTTCTGTAGTTAAGCAGTGTTTCATTTTACAAAACGCTCTTTTCATTTTGAAGATAATACTCGCATCTGTATCTGTTAGAGATGTCGATCTACGTATGTACAGGTCACCATGGTGATTACTGTATAAGCAATAATGAATCCTCAACTTCCTAGCTTATTACAAAAACATAAATTCAGATCATGTCCCGACAATTATCATTTACATTCATTGCAAGTTTAATTAAATTTTTGACGGAGTGTCACTTCCATGGGAACACCAACATTCCCATTTGTTTTGTCTATTCAATCCATAAATTACTTCCATGGAGATTGTTAATAAAGAACTGATTTCCTACAATTATCTTTACTGTTATAATTCCAATGCAAATGACACATTTATGGAGCATTTCTTTAAAATAAACACACAAAGGCCAAAAATAAGGTTTATGGTTCAAACACACAATGGATGATGATTCCTATTTAGTGACTCTTGGACCACCTACCAATTAGAAAAATATCCACCTTCTTTTCAATATTTCTCTTCGGACCATTAAGTATCGGTTCTGAAAGGTGTGGTCTCACTTCTTGAATCTAAAGTCGATAAAACATCCGTGAAAAAAACACATTTAGAAGGTCTCATTCTGTCCAGTGTGACAATCAGGAGGGATTCCAGGAACACAAAATGTTTTACAAACACAAGATTTTTAAGGACTCATTCGTGTGATTAGAGAACGTGAAACAATACCTGT